ACTGGCTGGTTGAATGACTGACTGACTGAGTGGTTGACTGACTGACTGACTGGTTGACTGACTGACTGACTGGTTGATTGATTGACTGACTGGTTGAATGACTGACTGACTGGTTGAATGACTGACTGGTTGAATGACTGACTGACTGGTTGACTGACTGACTGACTGACTGGTTGAATGGCTGGTTGACTGACTGGCTGGCTGGTTGACTGACTGACTGACTGGTTGAATGACTGACTGACTGGTTGGTTGACTGACAGGCTGGTTGGTTGACTGACAGGCTGGTTGGTTGACTTACTGACTGACTGGTTGAATGACTGACTGTTTGACTGACTGACTGGCTGGCTGGTTGCCTGACTGGTTGAATGACTGACTGACTTGTTGAATGACTGACTGACTGGTTGACTGACTGACTGACTGGTTGACTGACTGACTGACTGGTTGACTGACTGACTGACTGGTTGACTGACTGACTGACTGGTTGACTGGCTGGTTGAATGACTGACTGGCTGGTTGAATGACTGACTGGCTGGTTGACTGACTGGTTGACTGACTGGTTGAATGACTGACTGACTGGTTGACTGACTGGCTGGTTTACTGACTGGCTGGTTGACTGACTGGCTGGTTTACTGACTGGCTGGTTGACTGACTGACTGACTGGTTGAATGACTGACTGACTGGTTGACTGACTGACTGGCTGGCTGGTTGACTGGCTGGTTGGTTGACTGACTGACTGGTTGAATGACTGACTGACTGGTTGAATTACTGACTGGCTGGTTGACTGACTGGCTGGTTGAATTACTGACTGACTGGTTGACTGACTGGCTGGCTGGTTGACTGACTGACTGACTGGCTGGCTGGTTGACTGACTGGCTGGTTGGTTGACTGACTGACTGGTTGAATGACTGACTGTTTGACTGACTGTTTGACTGGTTGACTGACTGACTGACTGGCTGGTTGACTGACTGACTGACTGACTGGTTGAATGACTGCCTGACTGGTTGAATGACTGACTGACTGGTTGAATGACTGACTGACTGGTTGAATGACTGACTGACTGGTTGAATGACTGACTGACTGGTTGAATGACTGACTGGCTGGTTGACTGACTGGCTGACTTGCTGGTTGACTGACTGACTGACTGACTGACTGGTTGAATGACTGACTGACTGACTGACTGGTTGACTGACTGGCTGACTGACTGGTTGAATGACTGACTGATTGACTGACTGACTGACTGGTTGAATGACTGACTGACTGGTTGAATGACTGACTGACTGGTTGAATGACTGGCTGACTGACTGGTTGAATGACTGGCTGACTGACTGGTTGAATGACTGACTGACTGGTTGACTGACTGGCTGACTGACTGGTTGAATGACTGGCTGACTGACTGGTTGAATGACTGACTGACTGGTTGAATGACTGACTGCCTGGTTGACTGACTGGCTGACTTGCTGGTTGACTGACTGACTGACTGACTGGTTGAATGACTGCCTGACTGATTGAATGACTGACTGACTGGTTGAATGACTGACTGACTGGTTGAATGACTGACTGACTGACTGGTTGACTGACTGACTGACTGACTGGTTGAATGACTGCCTGACTGGTTGAATGACTGCCTGACTGGTTGAATGACTGACTGACTGGTTGAATGACTGACTGACTGACTGGTTGACTGACTGACTGACTGACTGGTTGAATGACTGACTGACTGGTTGAATGACTGACTGGTTGACTGACTGGCTGACTGACTGGTTGAATGACTGACTGGTTGACTGACTGGCTGACTGACTGACTGGTTGACTGACTGACTGGTTGACTGACTGGTTGACTGACTGGTTGACTGACTGGTTGACTGACTGGCTGACTGACTGGCTGACTGACTGGTTGAATGACTGACTGACTGACTGGTTGAATGACTGACTGACTGACTGGTTGAATGACTGACTGACTGGTTGACTGACTGGCTGGTTGACTGACTGGCTGACTGACTGGTTGACTGACTGGCTGACTGGCTGGTTGAATGACTGACTGACTGACTGGTTGAATGACTGACTGACTGACTGGTTGAATGACTGACTGACTGGCTGACTGACTGGTTGACTGACTGGCTGACTTGCTGGTTGAATGACTGACTGGTTGAATGACTGACTGACTGGTTGAATGACTGACTGACTGACTGACTGGTTGAATGACTGACTGACTGACTGACTGACTGACTGACTGACTGGTTGAATGACTGACTGACTGACTGGTTGAATGACTGACAGACTGGTTGAATGACTGACTGACTGGTTGACTGACTGGCTGACTGACTGGTTGAATGACTGGCTGACTGACTGGTTGAATGACTGACTGACTGGTTGAATGACTGACTGCCTGGTTGACTGACTGGCTGACTTGCTGGTTGACTGACTGACTGACTGACTGACTGGTTGAATGACTGCCTGACTTGCTGGTTGACTGACTGACTGACTGACTGTTTGAATGACTGCCTGACTGGTTGAATGACTGCCTGACTGGTTGAATGACTGACTGACTGGTTGAATGACTGACTGACTGACTGGTTGACTGACTGACTGACTGACTGGTTGAATGACTGACTGACTGGTTGAATGACTGACTGACTGGTTGTATGACTGACTGGTTGACTGACTGGCTGACTGACTGGTTGAATGACTGACTGGTTGACTGACTGGCTGACTGACTGACTGGTTGACTGACTGACTGGTTGACTGACTGGCTGACTGACTGGTTGAATGACTGACTGACTGACTGGTTGAATGACTGACTGACTGGTTGACTGACTGGCTGGTTGACTGACTGGCTGACTGACTGGTTAAATGACTGACTGACTGGTTGACTGACTGGCTGACTGGCTGGTTGAATGACTGACTGACTGACTGGTTGAATGACTGACTGACTGGTTGAATGACTGGCTGACTGACTGGTTGACTGACTGGCTGACTGACTGGTTGAATGACTGACTGGTTGAATGACTGACTGACTGGCTGGTTGACTGACTGACTGGTTGAATGACTGACTGGTTGAATGACTGACTGGTTGAATGGCTGACTGACTGGTTGAATGACTGACTGACTGGTTGAATGACTGACTGACTGGTTGAATGACTGACTGACTGACTGGCTGGCTGGCTGACTGACTGGTTGACTGGCTGACTGACTGGCTGACTGACTGGTTGAATGACTGACTGACTGGTTGAATGACTGACTGCCTGACTGGTTGAATGACTGACTGACTGGTTGAATGACTGGCTGACTGACTGACTGACTGGCTGACTGACTGACTGGTTGACTGACTGCCTGACTGGTTGAATGACTGACTGACTGACTGACTGACTGACTGGCTGACTGACTGACTGACTGGTTGACTGACTGGCTGACTGACTGGTTGAATGACTGACTGACTGGTTGAATGACTGACTGCCTGACTGGTTGAATGACTGACTGACTGGTTGAATGACTGGCTGACTGACTGACTGACTGGTTGAATGACTGACTGACTGGTTGAATGACTGACTGACTGACTGGCTGACTGACTGACTGGTTGACTGACTGACTGGTTGACTGACTGGCTGACTGACTGGTTGAATGACTGACTGACTGACTGGTTGAATGACTGACTGACTGGTTGAATGACTGACTGACTGGTTGACTGACTGGCTGGTTGACTGGCTGACTGGCTGGTAGAATGACTGACTGACTGGTTGAATGACTGACTGACTGGTTGAATGACTGCCTGACTGGTTGAATGACTGACTGATTGACTGACTGACTGACTGGTTGACTGACTGGCTGACTTGCTGGTTGACTGACTGACTGCCTGACTGGTTGAATGACTGCCTGACTGGTTGAATGACTGCCTGACTGGTTGAATGACTGACTGATTGACTGACTGACTGACTGGTTGACTGACTGACTGACTGGTTGACTGACTGGCTGGTTGACTGACTGGCTGACTGACTGGTTGAATGACTGACTGACTGACTTGCTGGTTGACTGACTGACTGACTGGTTGACTGACTGACTGGTTGACTGGCTGGTAGAATGGCTGGCTGGTTGACTGACTGACTGGTTGATTGACTGGCTGGTTGACCTACTGGCTGGTTGACTGACTGGTTGGTTGACTGACTGGCTGGTTGACTGACTGACTGGTTGAATGACTGGCTGGTTGACTGACTGGCTGGTTGACTGACTGACTGACTGGTTGAATGACTGACTGACTGACTGACTGGTTGAATGACTGACTGACTGGTTGAATGACTGACTGACTGACTGACTGACTGGTTGACTGACTGACTGACTGGTTGACTGACTGACTGACTGGTTGACTGACTGACTGACTGGTTGACTGACTGACTGGCTGGCTGGTTGACTGGCTGGCTGGTTGACTGACTGGCTGGTTGACTGACTGACTGGTTGAGTGACTGACTGGTTGAATGACTGGCTGGTTGACTGACTGACTGGTTGACTGACTGACTGACTGGTTGACTGACTGGCTGGTTGAATGACTGGCTGGTTGACTGGTTGACTGACTGGCTGGTTGACTGACTGACTGGTTGACTGACTGACTGGCTGGTTGAATGACTGGCTGGTTGACTGACTGGCTGGTTGACTGACTGACTGGTTGAGTGACTGACTGGTTGAATGACTGGCTGGTTGACTGACTGACTGGTTGACTGACTGACTGACTGGTTGACTGACTGGCTGGTTGAATGACTGGCTGGTTGACTGGTTGACTGACTGGCTGGTTGACTGACTGACTGGTTGACTGACTGACTGGCTGGTTGAATGACTGGCTGGTTGACTGACTGGCTGGTTGAGTGACTGACTGGTTGAATGACTGACTGGCTGGTTGAATGACTGGCTGGTTGACTGACTGGCTGGTTGACTGGTTGACTGACTGGCTGGTTGACTGACTGACTCCTGTGTTTCAGGAAGCATTCGGAGTTGTCAGAGCTGAATGTGAAGTTGATGGAGGCTCTGTCTCTTTATGCTAAGCTTATGAATGAGGACTATGCCATGTACACCAAGCTGCAGACCCAGCAGTATTACATGCATCAATCTGCCAACACAGCACAACCGGTAGGTCACTCCATCTCTCTCTCACCCTCTCTCGCTCTTTCTCTAAATGCGGCCTGCCAATGCACGGTAGAAAGATACAAATGGAACGCTGGTGTTATGGATCATGTCTTTTTGAACGGTGTTGAACGAAGACACTGTTTTCTCTAAGGAAAGGAGGGAGACTTTTATATACAGGTTCTGGAAACAGAAGGCAGTGGTAAACGTGGGAGGGTTGAGAGAGACTACAAGTTCAAAGACAGCCTACTTTTCTATAGCCTCCTCAAGGGAGAGAGAAACATAGCTAGACTGTTGTTTTACTATTAAACTCAATGCTGCTATTGTTTTTAATTTGGTAAAGCAGCTTGTGTTTCTTAACCAGGCAAAGGGTAGAAAACTAGAAGGCTGGTGGTGACTGGTTAGCTACAGGGAAGCAATTACTGACTTAGCAGACGACCGCCACCAGTTTGTGATAGTAGTAAGGATGCTATTTGACAAGCCCACCATCGTCTTCAACTTTTTAATGAGGTAGCTTAAGCTACGAATATGAATTTATAATTTCCCATGTTTTTTGGGGGTTAAAGCCGATTGTGTGTGAAACGGTATGCACATTATTTAATTTGGTCATATAAATATTAACATTTTGAATTTTGTGTAATGTCAGTAGCCTAGTCAAATTGCTTTCGAAAAGTATTCAGACCCCTTGACTTTTTTAATTTTAGTTTTTTTTAATTTCATCTTTATTTAACCAGGTAAGAAGCCAGTTGAGAACAAGTTCTCATTTACAACTGCGACCTGGCCAAGATAAAGCAAAGCAGTGCGGTAAAAACAACAAAACAGAGTTACATATGGGGTAAAAAAACATAAAGTCAAAAATACAACAGAAAATATATATACAGTGTGTGCAAATGTAGCAAGTTATGGAGGTAAGGCAATAAATAGGCCATAGTGCAAAATAATTACAATTAGTATTAACACTGGAATGCTAGATGTGCAAGAGATTATGTGCAAATAGAGATACTGGGGTGCAAAAGAGCAAAATAAATAACAATATAGGGATGAGGTAGTTGGGTGGGCTAATTTCAGATGGGCTGTGTACAGGTGCAGTGATCGGTAAGGTGCTCTGACAACTGATGCTTAAAGTTATTGAGGGAGATAAGAGTCTCCAGCTTCAGAGATTTTTGCAATTCGTTCCAGTCATTGGCAGCAGAGAACTGGAAGGAATGGCGGCCAAAGGAGGTGTTGGCTTTGGGAATGACCAGTGAGATATACCTGCTGGAGCGCAGACTACGGGTGGGTGCTGCTATGGTGACCAATGAGCTAAGATAAGGCGGGGATTTGCCTAGCAGTGATTTATAGATGGCCTGGAGCCAGTGGGTTTGACGACGAATATGTAGTGAGGACCAGCCAACAAGAGCGTACAGGTCACAGTGGTGGGTAGTATATGGGGCTTTGGAGACAAAACGGATGGCACTGTGATAGACTACATCCAATTTGCTGAGTAGAGTGTTGGAGGCTATTTTGTAAATGACATCGCCGAAGTCAAGGATCGGTAGGATAGTCAGTTTTACGAGGGCATGTTTGGCAGCATGAGTGAAGGAGGCTTTGTTGCGAAATAGGAAGCCGATTCTAGATTTAACTTTGGATTGGAGATTCTTAATGTGAGTCTGGGAGGAGAGTTTACAGTCTAACCAGACACCTAGGTATTTGTAGTTGTCCACATACTCTAGGTCAGACCCGTCGAGAGTGGGGATTCTAGTCGGGTGGGCGGGTGCCAGCAGCGTTCGATTGAAGAGCATGCATTTAGTTTTACTAGTGTTTAAGAGCAGTTGGAGGCTACTGAAGGAGTGTTGTATGGCATTGAAGCTTGTTTGGAGGTTTGTTAACACAGTGTCCAATGAAGGGCCAGATGTATACAAAATGGTGTCGTCTGCGTAGAGGTGGATCTGAGAGTCACCAGCAGCAAGAGCGACATCATTGATATACACAGAGAAAAGAGTCGGCCCAAGAATTGAACCCTGTGGCACCCCCATAGAGACTGCCATAGGTCCAGACAACAGGCCCTCCGATTTGACACATTGAACTCTATCTGAGAAGTAGTTGGTGAACCAGGCGAGGCAGTCATTTGAGAAACCAAGGCTATTTAGTCCGCCAATAAGAATGCGGTGGTTGACAGAGTCGAAAGCCTTGGCCAGGTCGATGAAGACGGCTGCACAGTACTGTCTATTATCGATCGCGGTTATAATATCGTTTAGGACCTTGAGCGTGGCTGAAGTGCACCCATGACCAGCTCGGAAACCGGATTGCATAGCGGAGAAGGTACGGTGGGATTCGAAATGGTCGGTGATCTGTTTGTTAACTTGGCTTTCAAATACTTTCGAAAGGCAGGGCAGGATGGATATAGGTCTGTAGCAGTTTGGATCTAGAGTGTCACCCCCTTTGAAGAGGGGGATGACCGCGGCAGCTTTCCAATCTCTGGGGATCTCAGACGTTACGAAAGAGAGGTTGAACAGGCTAGTAATAGGGGTTGCGACAATTTCGGCGGCTAGTTTTAGAAAGAAAGGGTCCAGATTGTCTAGCCCAGCTGATTTGTAGGGGTCCAGATTTTGCAGCTCTTTCAGAACATTTTCCACATTTTGTTACGTTACATCCTTAATCTAAAATTAATCAAATACAAATGTTTCCTCATCAATCTACACACAATACCCCATAATGACCCAATACCCCATAATGACCCAATACCCCATAATGACCCAATACCCCATAATGACCCAATACCCCATAATGACCCAATAACCCATTTATAAAAAATATATAAAGATACCTTGTTTACATTAGTATTCAGACCCTTTGCTATGAGATTCGAAATTGAGGTCAGGTGCATCCTGTTTCCATTGATCATCCTTGAGATGTTTCTACAACTTGATTGGAGTCCACCTGTGGCAAATTCAATTGATTGGACATGATTTGGAAAGGCACACACCTGTCTATATAAGGTCCCACAGTTGACAGTGCATGTCAGAGCAAAAACCAAGCCATGAGGTCGAAGGAATTGTCCATAGAGCTCAGAGACAGGATTGTGTTGAGGCAAAGATCTGGGGAAGGGTACCAAAAAATGTCTGCAGCGTTGAAGGTCCCCAAGAACACAGTGGCCCCCATCATTCTTAAATGGAAGAAGTTTGGAACCACCAAGACTCTTCCTAGAGCTGGCCACCCGGCCAAACTGAGCAATAGGGGGAGAAGGGCCTTGGTCAAGGAGGTGACCAAGAACCCGATGGTCACTCTGACAGAGCTCCAGAGTTCCTCTGCTATAACAGCCTCCACTCTTCTGGGAAGGCTTTCCACTAGATGTTGGAACATTGCTGCGGGCACTTGCTTCCATTCATTCATTGCATTCCAATTCATCCCGAAGGTGTTCGATGGAGTTGAGGTCAGGGCTCTGTGCAGGCCAGTCAAGTTCTTCCACACCAGTCTCGACAAAACATTTCTGTATGGACCTCGCTTTGTGCCCAGGGGCATTGTCATGCTGAAACAGGAAAGGACCTTCCCCAGACTGTTGCCACAAAGTTGGAAGCACAGAATCGTTCACTGGAACTAAGGGGCCCAGCCCGAAACATTATTCCTCCTCCACCAAACTTTACAGTTGGCACTATGCATTCGGACAGGTAGCGTTCTCCTGACAGCCGCCAAACCCAGATCCGTCGGACTGCCAAATGGTGAAGTGTGATTCATCCCTCCAGAGAACGCGTTTCCAGTGCTACAGAGTCCAATGGTGGCGAGCTTTACACCACTCCAGCCAACGCTTTGCATTGCGCATGGTGATCTTAGGTTTGTGGGCGGCTGCTCGGCCATGGAAACCCATTTCATGAAGCTCCCGACAAACAGTTATTGTGCTGATGTTGCTTTTAGAGGCAGTTTGGAACTCAGTAGTGAGTGTTGCAACCTAAGAGAAACGATTTTACCCACTACGCGCTTCAGCACACTGCGGTTCCGTTCTGTGAGCTTGTGTGGCCTTCCACGTCTCGGCTGAGCCGTTGTTGCTCCGAGATGTTTCCACTTCATTTACATTTTTAGTCATTTAGCAGACGCTCTTATCCAGAGCAACTTACAGTTAAGTGAGTGCATACATTTTCATACTGGCCCCCTGTGGGAATTGAACCCACAACCCTGGCGTTGCAAACGCCATGCTCTACCAACTGAGCTACATCCCTGCCGGCCATTCCCTCCCCTACCCTGGACGACGCTGGCTAATTGTGCGCCGCCCCATGGGTCTCCCGGTCGCGGCCGGCTACGACAGAGCCTGGATTCGAACCAGGATCTAGTGGCACAGCTAGCACTGCGATGCAGTGCCTTAGACCACTGCGCCACTCGGGAGACACTTCATAATAACAGCACTTACAGTTGAGCGGGGCAACTCTAGCAGGGCAGAAATTTGACAAACAGACTTGTTGGAAAGGTGGCATCCTATGACGGTGCCACATTGATAGTCACTGAGCTCTTCAGTAAGGCCATTCTACTGCCAATGTTTGTCTATGGAGATTGCATGGCTGTGTGCTCGATTTTATCCACCTGTCAGCAACGGGTGTGGCTGAAATAGCCGAATCCACTAATTTGAAGGTGTCCACATAGTTTTGTGTGTGTATATATAGTGTGTGTGTGTTCGTTCCCTCAGGTGTACCCGGGGCAGACTGGAGGGTCCTATGGGATGAGCGGTCCAGGAGGGGTTCAGCAGGGATACAGTGTTTCTCTGGAGCAGATACAGACTGGCCAGCCAGCACCCAGGTGACTTTCCTCACAGCTATTCACACACCTAACCCTAACCTAACCCTAACCCAGCTATTCACACACCTAACCCTAACCTAACCCTAACCTAACCCTAACCCAGCTATTCACACACCTAACCCTAACCTAACCCTAACCCTAACCTAACCCTAACCCAGCTATTCACACACCTAACCCTAACCTAACCCTAACCCTAACCCTAACCCAGCTATTCACACACCTAACCCTAACCTAACCCTAACCCTAACCCAGCTATTCACACACCTAACCCTAACCTAACCCTAACCTAACCCTAACCCAGCTATTCACACACCTAACCCTAACCTAACCCTAACCTAACCCAGCTATTCAAAAAACCTAACCCTAACCCTAACCCAGCTATTCACACACCTAACCCTAACCTAACCCTAACCTAACCCTAACCCAGCTATTCACACACCTAACCCTAACCTAACCCTAACCCAGCTATTCACACACCTAACCCTAACCTAACCCTAACTGGATCTACACAAATGGAGCCCATGGAAATCAGTTTGCGTCGCGTTCCAAAAATTCAGCCGCACAAATGTACGTAGAACTATGTAGAGAGCGACGCTAACAGACCTCAGTTTGCTCCGTTTGTGTAGATCCAGTTAGGGTTAGGTTAGGGTTAGGTGACTATGTAGATCCCTTTACCCACTGTGTGTGTGTGTGTGTGTGTGTGTTCCAGTGATGTCCACATGTACATGGGCCAGCCTCCAGTCTACAGTCCAGCTGCAGAGGGCATGTCCTACCAGCCTCCAGCCAATCAGCCGTCCAGCTACAACTCCACCCCCAACCCTGGCCTGAGCCTTCCACCCACTCCTGACACACAGCAGCACCCGTACCCCGAGAAGGCTCTTCTATAGAACACACTACACTACACACAGCAGCACCCGTACCCCGAGAAGGCTCTTCTATAGAACACACTACACTACACACAGCAGCACCCGTACCCCGAGAAGGCTCTTCTATAGAACACACTACACTACAGACAGCAGCACCCGTACCCCGAGAAGGCTCTTCTATAGAACACACTACACTACACACAACAGCACCCGTACCCCGAGAAGGCTCTTCTATAGAACACACTACACTACACACAGCAGCACCCGTACCCCGAGAAGGCTCTTCTATAGAACACACTACACTACACACAGCAGCACCCGTACCCCGAGAAGGCTCTTCTATAGAACACACTACACTACACACAGCAGCACCCGTACCCCGAGAAGGCTCTTCTATAGAAACACACTACACTACAGACAGCAGCACCCGTACCCCGAGAAGGCTCTTCTATAGAACACACTACACTACACACAGCAGCACCCGTACCCCGAGAAGGCTCTTCTATAGAACACACTACACTACACACAGCAGCACCCGTACCCCGAGAAGGCTCTTCTATAGAACACACTACACTACACACAGCAGCACCCGTACCCCGAGAAGGCTCTTCTATAGAACACACTACACTACACACAGCAGCACCCGTACCCCGAGAAGGCTCTTCTATAGAACACACTACACTACACACACGCTACACTGCACTACACACACTACAAACTACACACCCACAGCACACACACATTTACAGATACACATGCAGACTTGGACACATTCTGCACACTCAGTCATTTAATCTCACTCACTCACTCACTCACTCTAAAAAGAGCAGAAACATGAAGCCCGTGTGGAGTGTCCCGCATAGGAACAGACTGAGTGATGTTCCACATCATAAAGAGAAGCAGCAACTTGTTTAACTTTTATTTTTTAAAGGAAACTGAAAAACCTTATGCTACTATAGTCTTTCTTATCGTTGCATTGTTTTAGAAATACTAAAGACTGAAGCCACTTTCAGGATAAGAAAATAGTGAAGCATGCAGACATTGTATATATGTACTGTACTGGTAATATGATATTATATATATATATATATATATATATATATATATATATATATATACAGTACCAGTCAAAAGTTTGGACACCTACTCGTTCCAGGGTTTTTCTTTATTTTTACTATTTTCTACATTGTAGAATAATAGTGAAGACATCAAAACTATGAAATAACACATATGGAATCATGTAGTAACCAAAAAAGTGTTAAACAAATCAAAATATATTTGAGATGTGAGATTCTTCAAAGTAGCCACCCTGAACACTCTTGGCATTCTCTCAACCCGCTTCATGAGGTTGTCACCTGGAATGCATTTCAATTAACAGGTGTGCCTTGTTAAAAGTTAATTTGTGGAATTTCTTTCCTTCTTAATGCGTTTGAGCCAATCAGATGTGTTGTGTCAAGGTAGGGGTGGTATACAGACGATAGCCCTATTTGGTAAAAGACCAAGTCCATATTATGGCAAGAACAGCTCAAATAAGCAAAGAGAAACGACAGTTCATCATTACTTTATGACATGAAGGTCAGTCAATCTGGAAAATATCAAGAACTTTGAAAGTTTCTTCAAGTGCAGTCACAAAAACCATCAAGCGCTATGGTGAAACTGGCTCTCATGAGGACCGCCACAGGAATCGAAGACCCAGAGTTACCTCTGCTGCAGAGGATACGTTCATTAGAGTAACTGCACCTCAGATTGCAGGCCAAATAAATGCTTCACAGAGTTCAAGTAACAGACACATCTCAACATCAACTGTTCAGAGGGGATTGAGTGAATCAGGCCTTTGTGGTCGAATTGCTGCAAAGAAACCACTACTAAAGGACACCAATAACAAGAAGAGACTTGCTTGGGCCAAGAAACACGAGCAATGGACATTAGACCGGTGGAAATCTGTCCTTTGGTCTGATAAGTCCACATTTGAGATTTTTGTTTCCAACCACCGTGTCTTTGTGAGATGCAGAGTAGGTGAACTGATGATCTCCGCATGTGTGTTTCCCACCGTGAAGCATGGAGGAGGAGGCGTAATGGTGTGGGGTGCTTTGCTAGTGACACTGTCTGTGATTTATTTAGAATTCAAGGCACACTTAACCAGCATAGCTACCACAGCATTCTGCAGCGATACGCCAACCAATCTGGTTTGCGTTTAGTGGGACTATTATTTGTTTTTCAACAGGACAATGACCCAAAACACACCTCCAGGCTGTGTAAGGGCTATTTGACCAAGGAGAGTGATGGAGGGTTGCATCAGATGACCTTTCATAGTTTTGATGTCTTCACTATTATTATTATGTAGAAAATAGTAAAAATTATGAAAAAACCCTTGGATGAGTAGGTGTGTCCAAACCTTTGACTGGTAGGGTTAGGGTTAGGGTTAACCCTACCCCTAACCCTAACCCTAACCCTGTGTACAGACTGTGTATATATACACACTACTGGTGACATACTACAGTGCGTTCAGAAAGTATTCAGACCCCTTGACTTTTTGATTTTGTTACATTACAGCCTTATTTCAAAATTGATTAAATTACTTTTTTCCCTCATCAATCTACACACAATATCCCATAATGACAAAGCAAAAACAAGTTTTTAGAGATTTTTGCAAATGTATTAAACAATTAAAAAACAAATACCTGGCACCATCCCTACGGTGAAGCATAGTGGTGGCAGCATCATGCTGTGGGGATGTTTTTCAGCGGCAGGGACTGGGAGACTAGTCAGGATCGAGGCAAAGATGAACGGAGCAAAGTACAGAGATCCTTGATGAAAACCTGCTCCAGAGCGCTCAGGACCTCCGACTGGGGCGAAGGTTCACCTTCCAACAGGACAACAATCCTAAGCACACAGCCAAGACAACGCATTAGTTGCTTTGGGACAAGTCTCTGAATGTCCTTGATTGGCCCAGCCAGAGCCCAGACTTGAACCCAATGGAACATCTCTGGAGAGAACTGAAAATAGCTGTGCAGCGACGCTCCCAATCCAACCTGACAGAGCTTGAGAGGATCTGCATAGAAGAATGGGAGAAACTCCCCAAATACAGGTGTACCAAGCTTGTAGCATCATACCCAAGAAGACTTGAGGCTGTAATCGCTGCCAAAAGTGCTTCAACAAAGTGCTGAGTAAAGTGTCTGAATTCTTATGTAAATGTGATATTTCTGTTTTTTTATATAAAAAGAAAGTCAACTAAGCTGTTTTTGCTTTGTCATTATGGGGTAAAAAAAAGTATTAATCAATTTTAGAATAAGGCTGAAACATAACAAAATGTGGAAAAAGTGAAAGTATACTGTGCTGGTGATATATACTGTACTAGTCATATAATATATAGTATAGTACATATATACTGTACTGGTGATATATACTGTACTAGTCATGATATAGTATAGTACATATATACTGTACTGTTGATATATACTGTACTAGTCATATGATATAGTATAGTACATATATACTGTACTAGTCATGATATAGTATAGTACATATATACTGTACTGTTGATATATACTGTACTAGTCATGATATAGTATAGTACATATATACTGTACTGTTGATATATACTGTACTAGTCATATGATATAGTATAGTACATATATACTGTACTGTTGATATATACTGTACTAGTCATATTATATAGTGTATATATACTCTACTGTACTAGTACTATGATATCGTATATATGCTGTACTGTACTAGTAATATGATATAGTGTGTATATATATATATATATATATATACTGTCCTGAACTAGTAATATGATATAGTATATTTACTGTACTGTACTAGTAATATGATAGTGTATATACTGTACTGTACTAGTAGTATGATATAGTGTATATACTGTACTGTACTAGTAGTATGATATAGTATATATACTGTACTAGTAATATTATATAGCATATATACTGTCCTGAGTGTGTGTTTGTCCAGGTCTGAAGGGTGTATGTGTTTCCTGAACAAAGCAACAAGCAGCATTGCCCCTGCTCTCCTGGCGTAGTCCCTGGGGACATGAAGTACACTACTTTAGCCCATAGCCTTATGAGGCAGACCTATGAAGCTCTGGCCAAAGTAGTGAACTATGTAGGGAGTAGATTTCCATTTGAGATCCAGTGTTATGGCTTGTCCCGCCTCCAGGGATCTGACTTGTTCTGCTGTTCTCTTTAAGCTTCTCTCTAGCCAGTGTTAAATTGATACTAGTTTTTTTTATAGTGCGTTTTAATTTATATTTGATTATTGTTATGCTATTTTACATGCAGAATTTGTAATGAGAGAAAATGAATGTGATATTCTTCATGATTTTAGGTCTATATTTAAATAGCTCATAAGAAATGTTCTCTCATTTTAACCCTCTAGATCCAAGAGCTGCTGTTCATCTCAATGTATTTATCTGACCCTAACTACCCCGTATAGACTGTCCTCTGACCGTATTTATCTGACCCTAACTACCCCGTATAGACTGTCCTCTGACCGTATTTATCTGACCCTAACTAACCCGTATAGACTGTCCTCTGACCCGTATTTATCTGACCCTAACTAACCCCGTATAGACTGTCCTCTGACCGTATTTATCTGACCCTAACTACCCCCGTATAGACTGTCCTCTGACCCTAACTACCCCGTATAGACAGTCCTCTGACCGTATTTATCTGACCCTAACTACCCCGTATAGACTGTCCTCTGACCGTATTTATCTGACCCTAACTACCCCGTATAGACTGTCCTCTGACCGTATTTATCTGACCCTAACTACCCCGTATAGACTGTCCTCTGACCGTATTTATCTGACCCTAACTAACCCGTATAGACTGTCCTCTGACCCTAACTACCCCGTATAGACTGTCCTCTGACCGTATTTATCTGACCCTAACTACCCCCGTATAGACTGTCCTCTGACCGTATTTATCTGACCCTAACTACCCCCCGTATAGACTGTCCTCTGACCGTATTTATCTGACCCTAACTACCCCGTATAGACTGTC